CATGACCATGAGAAGAAGTATAGGTTAGGCGATCATCTCCAAAGAAGTTTCAAGGATATACTGATCAATGCTGTTTAAAATAACTAAGAGAGCCAAAATAAAATACTATGAAAATAAATTTGACCAAATTAAGGGCAACATTAAGAAAACATGGAGCAATATCTCCCAAATATTAGGTTCAAAAAAGATTTTGAATAATAAACCAATACTCCTATCCAATGACGATGGTGGGGTTTCAGCCCCAGACACTGCTATTGAATTCAATAGTTTTTTCTCATCCATTGGCACATCCCTTACTGATGATATTCCATCCTTCCTAACTGTTAAGGACTACCTTACAGGAAACTATCCCGAGTCTCTATATCTAACTCTTGGTAATTCTTCTGATGTTAATGAGAAGGAATTATCTTTGAGATATATACAAGAGTTGCTACAATCTTGTACAGCCACTAGTACGCGTAGCGTTTCGGGCAGGTCCCTGGAATACGATCCCGGCCGCGAAGAATCGTATCTTAAAAAAATCTTAAACCTTAAACATCTTAAAGCTTATCTTAAGCCTTTATCTTAAAACTAAGTCAAGCACCCTTGCAGAGATACCAACTCTAATTTACAAAAAAGCCTCCAGATTTTTAGCTCCTACCATTGCACTGCTTTACAACAAATCACTTGAACTCCAAACCTTTTCGAATATTAAAAAAAAGCGAGAGTAACCCCAGTCCATAAATGTGGTGATCTCACGAATGTCAACAACTTCAGACCTATATCAATTCTGCCAACCTTGTCAAAAAAATTTGAAAAGCTAATCTACAAGCAGCTTTACTCTTATCTAGCCAAACTCAATATACTTAGCTCTTGCCAATATGGCTTGAGACCCAAAAAAAAGCACTAACGATGCACTTATTAGTATGATTAACTTGATACACGCAGCTCTTGATAAAAATGAGTTCCCTGTTGGGTTATTTGTGGACCTGCGTAAGGCTTTTGACACTGTCAACCACCAAAACCTTCTTCTTAAATTACATCATTATGGAGTCAGAGGACACTCCCTCCAATATGTTCAGTCTTACCTTACTGACAGGCTCCAGTATGTTTCTGTGAATAGTTCCATTTCTCCCACCCTACCCATCAACATTGGTGTTCCTCAGGGCAGCATACTTGGCCCTCTCCTCTTTCTCATCTACATTAATGACCTTCCAAATGCCTCCCAACACCTCAAACCAATCTTATTTGCTGATGACACATCCTTCATTTTCTCCAGTCCTGACCTTCTTTCTCTGAATGATACGATGAATACTGAACTAAATAAAGTTCATCTTTGGCTAACTGCTAACAAACTCACTTTTAAGATTAATAAAATCTTTGATAGTTTGTTTGGTAATAAATCCTTATATCAAATTAATCTAAGAATAAACAATATCCAAATTAGAAACAAAATAGAAGGTAAATTCTTTGGTGTCCTCATCGATAACAAGCTGAATTTCCAGGGACATATTCTAAATATATAAAAAAAAAGATTCTAAAACTGTTGGCATTCTTTCTAAGATCAGATATTATGTACCTCGCCCTGCCCTGGTGACTCTCTATTACTCGCTCATCTCTCCTTATCTCAACTATGGTATTTGTGCTTGGGGCTCTACTACCCAAAATCATTTACATCCTCTAATTACTCAACACAAGCTGCTATTAGAACAATATCTAACTCTGGCCCCAGACAGCACTCGGTACCCCTACTCAAATCTCTGAATATGTTAGATATTAAGTCACGCCTATAGGGGCGCCTGACAGCTGAGTGGACAGCGCTTTGGATTCGTAGTCCTGAGGTTCCGGGTTCCATCCCCGGTGGAGGCAGAGACAAATGGGCAAAAAGTTTCTTTTTGTAATTGCTCCAAATTTACATTATTCTAAGGAACTTAGTTTTATTTGTTTACTCTTTACATTGCATCATAAATTGTATCTTTCCCTTTTTTACCATCAAACAGCCTTTTTATGCAAACAAGTATAGACCCAGAACTAAACCTCTTATCAAGTATCTATGACAATCATCACTTTAATCCTCCTGTTACCTAGCAGCAAAAAGGTACCTGGGAACAAATCCACAAGATCCGTGACGAGGGTTCGAACCTATGTCCGAAAGCATCCCAGACGCTGCCGTAATCGACTGCGCTACGACATGGTAAAAGAAAGGCCTGTTGACAGAGCTCGAGTGCATGGAGGAATTGCGTAAAAATTCTGGTTTGTGTCTCGGAGAGGCTGCAGGGTCCAAGTAATGGCAGTAGAACTTCTGGTTGCAATTCTTTTACCATGTCGTAGTGCAATTGATTAAGGCAGCGTCTGGGATGCTCTCGGACATAGGTTCGAACCCTCGTCACGGTCCTTGTGGACTTGTTCATTTGATGTATCACGCTATTGTGATTTCTGTGTGTTAGGTACCTGGGAGTTAGACAGCTGCTACAGGCTGCTTCCTGGGGATATGTAACAAAAAGGAGGCTTGGTCGAGGACCGGGCCGTTGGGACGCTAAGCCCCGAAATCACCTCAAGATAACCTCTGAAGTGTACTCTATATATTTATAACTCTGAACTGTAATGCCAATCCTGACCTTAAACGCTTCCTAGAAGGTTGTAACAGAACCCATGAGCACCACACCAGAAACAAATACCTAATTGATCTTACAAGAGTACGACTTAACCAAACTAGAAATGCTCTACAAATCAAGGGACCCAGAATGTGGAATGACCTTCCCAATTATGTTAAAGTCTATGGGTTATAAGTAACGAATTGGGCCATTTTTGAAAGCCCAATTTTTTTAAATTGTGCTACTTGTTGGGCTGCTTCTAAAATACCTGCGTTATTTACTCAGAAAAGCACATTAATCGGCAAAAAAAAAAAAAATATTGGGCTATATTCACTACAATTCTTGCAGCAATTCAGAACTGGCAACCCTGATCAGCTTAAGAAATTCAGTTGCCTACCTTAGGTGACATGAGGCTGTACACAATTATCTGGAGTTATTGCCCTCAAGATGAAAATGAAATTGAAAGAGCAACACAGCTCATCATGTATAGGCATTGTATGTGATCTATTATAACATTTCTTTAGATCTCATGACTTCACAAGTAAGAGAGTTATTGTGGAAAAGGGGCAGCATATTCCTACACTGAACATGATGTTAACATTAACAACCTGTGGTGGAACATTTAACCATCAAATGTATATTGACAATGAATGGCTTGTTTGGATGTTCCAGTGTGCAAAAGAGTATATTCTTGTCTTCTGTTTTCAAATGGAAAAAATGTATGGAATACTTACTTTATAAGGCTTTGACGAATATACAGAAGTATTGCATAATCTTCAGAGCAAGCCAACATTTTACACCATTTTATATTTTATATTTTATATATATATATATATATATATATATATATATATATATATATATATATATATATATATATATATATATATATATATATATATATGTGTGTGTGTGTGTATGTGTGTGTGTGTGTATGTGTGTGTGTGTGTATGTGTGTGTGTGTGTATGTGTGTGTGTGTGTATGTGTGTGTGTGTGTATGTGTGTGTGTGTGTATGTGTGTGTGTGTGTATGTGTGTGTGTGTGTATGTGTGTGTGTGTGTATGTGTGTGTGTGTGTATGTGTGTGTGTGTGTATGTGTGTGTGTGTGTATGTGTGTGTGTGTGTATGTGTGTGTGTGTGTATGTGTGTGTGTGTGTATGTGTGTGTGTGTGTATGTGTGTGTGTGTGTATGTGTGTGTGTGTGTATGTGTGTGTGTGTGTATGTGTGTGTGTGTGTGTGTGTGTGTGTGTGTGTGTGTGTGTACTCACCTATTTGTGCGTACAGGATCGAGCTCAAGATCTTGGACCACGATTTTCTAGCCGCTGGTTGCAGGTTGTGTGTATTTACTATTTGTGCCTGCAGAATCGAACTATTAGCTCTTGGACCGCGTCTTTCTAACCTACTTTTTCTACTTTTCCTCTATTATGTCTACTACATATATCTCACACACACACACACACACACACCCAGGAAGCCGCCCGTAGCAACTATCTAACTCCCAGGTACCAATTTACTGCTACGTAACAGAGGCATGCCAGAGAAAAGCTATGAAATTATGAGTGTGTGTGTGTGTGTGTGTGTGTGTGTGTGTGTGTGTGTGTGTGTGTGTGTGTGTGTGTGTGTGTGTGTGTGTGTGTGTGTGTGTGTGTGTGTGTGTGTGTGTAATTACCTAAGGATACTTACAGGATGAGAGTTACGTTCCTCATGTCCCGTCTTCCCAGCACTCTTTGTCGTATAACACTTTGAAACTACTGACGGAACCACCTTCTCACTGAGCTTGTTCCAACCGTCTATCACTCTTCGTATTTCTTCGGCACCTTTGTTTCTTTAGCTTGAATCTGTGTCCTCATGTTCGTGAAGTTATTGGTCTCATGAATTCCTCTTAATAAATTTGGTCGATTCCTGTTAGTATTTTGTAAGTGGTGATCATATCACCTCTTTTCCTTGTATCTTCCAGTTTTGGCATATTTAACGCCTCTAGTCTGTGTGTGTGTACTCACCTATTTGTGTCTGCAGACTCGAGCTTTAGCTCTTGGTCCCTGCTTTTCTAGCCGTTGGTTATGTAATACAATGACTCCTGGCCAATCTCTCTATCATACCTGCTGTTAAAGTTATGAATGGTGTTAGCCTCCACAACCTGCTCCTTTAGGTCATTACATTTACTCACTTCCCGAACAATAAAAGAAAACTTTCTACCATCTCTATGACACATCTGAGTCTCATCGGTCTTTGGGGTCGACCGCTGGATGGAATGGACTTGGTCTGAGGATGGGTTGCTTACATGTAAACAATGCCCCCATGATTAAGAAAGTTGTACAGATTTCGTAATTGGTGGTGTAAGCACTTAATGAATTCCACTTGAGTGTCCACACGAGCCTGACTATGGGGACCAGCTCGTCCCTTATACAGAATAAGTCAACAATACCTGTGAAGCCAACGAGAACCTGGAAGATGGCGGAGACAGCGATGGCGCCCTGGACCTCGCGCATGCGCACCTGCCACACCTCCTCCCGCCCGACGGCAGTCATGTTGTGGAGAGGGAGGAGGTCGCACGTGTCGAAGCTGGTGGTGAGGATGGCGATGGTCGGCACCAGGAAGCTGAAGGTCCCGCCTTGCACGATGGGCAGCCTGAAGCACACGTCAGACCACGTCAAACAACCAGCAAAAATGTTAATTAACATTTTCCCCATGTAATAAGTTATTTTAGGGATCCTCCTCTGTTAAATGTTTATTTATTAAGTATTATGTACTTTCTACAATTATTGTCATCTAATTTTTAGCATTTCTTTGTAAGTGTGGCGCTACTGACTTTATATTACCATATTACTCTATGTTCTGCTATGTTCCAAACAAAATGTTATGAGAAAGAGTCCAGTTGGTCTTCTAAACTACACCGTGTGTTTTCCTCGTGTTATTAATATAACCAACTGTTGCTACAACTACTGTCTCCATGTTGTAATTATAGTCTTGCCTCTCAGCCTTATGTTTCACCTCTTTTGTATTCATTGGTTATTTTCCGTCTACGTTCCCTCTGGTAGCTTGCCTCTCCTTTAGTATTGTTTTACCCTTTCCAACCTTTAGTTCAATTTTGTCTATATTATCTTACAGTTGTGGGAAACGGTTTGTGTAATAGTGCCTTCGTTAGTATGTGTAACTCCTGTCCCTACCAATATGTACTCGTACACACATTCTTCTAAATAATAATTGAATTGTCCGCCTGTCACCTGACCCCATCATACTTGACCTTCACCTGACCCCATCATACTTGACCTTCATCTGACCCCATCATACTTGACCTTCACCTGACCCCATCATACTTGACCTTCATCTGACCCCATCATACTTGACCTTCACCTGACCCCATCATACTTGACCTTCACCTGACCCCATCATACTTGACCTTCACCTGACCCCATCATACTTGACCTTCACCTGACCCATCATACTTGACCTTCACCTGACCCATCATACTTAAGAAGGTCCCATCTTAAGTATCATTTGGTATCTAACATCATACTTCAAATGGGACCTTCACCCTGACCCTATCATTTGACTTTATTTATATATATATATATATATATATATATATATATATATATATATATATATATATATATATATATATATATATATATATATATATATATATATATATATATATATATATATATATATATATATATATATATATATATATATATATATATATATATATATATATATATATATATATATATATATATATATATATATATATATATATATATATATATATATATATATATATATACATATATATATTAGTATATTTTGGTAGCAGTCTTTCCTGTAGACATATATTATTAAATATGAGCGAAAAAGTAAGATTAATAATTCTAACACGAATTTTCTCTATCTTTTTTACGTTTCTTTTCACTAATGATGGTAATTCAAAGATCAATTCTCCAAAATTCATTTTTGTTTCTAGTCTGACGAGACACTTAAGCGCGTTTCGTAAAACTTATTACATTTTCAACGACTTTAGTTTACAAACACACAACTGAAACTGAATAGAGCTTTACACATCTTCGAGTTTATATCTACATTTGTGTGAGGTGGATGAGGTGAAAACAAACTTTCAACAATGGGTATTGAATGGGTATTAAATTCAAACACAAGACAGAACACGAAACAATGGGTATTGAATGGGTATTAAATTCAAACACAAGACAGAACACGAAACAATGGGTATTGAATGGAAGTAATTGTAGAAAGCCTATTGGTCCATATTTCTTGATGCTTCTATATTGGAGCGGAGTCTTGAAGTGGGTAGAATATAGTTGTGCATTAATTGGCTGTTGATTGCTGGTGTTGACTTCTTGATGTGTAGTGCCTCGTAGACGTCAAGCCGCCTGCTATCGCTGTATCTATCGATGATTTCTGTGTTGTTTGCTAAGATTTCTCTGGTGATGGTTTGTTTGTGGGAAGAGATTATATGTTCCTTAATGGAGCCCTGTTGTTTATGCATCGTTAAACGCCTGGAAAGAGATGTTGTTGTCTTGCCTATATACTGGGTTTTTTTAGGCTTACAGTCCCCAAGTGGGCATTTGAAGGCATAGACGACGTTGGTCTCTTTTAAAGCGTTCTGCTTTGTGTCTGGAGAGTTTCTCATGAGTAGGCTGGCCGTTTTTCTGGTTTTATAGTAAATCGTCAGTTGTATCTTATGATTATTGTCTGTAGATATAACGTTTCTATTAACAATATCTTTCAGGACCCTTTCCTCCGGTTTATGGGCTGTGGAAAAGAAGTTCCTGTAAAATAGTCTAGTAGGGGGTATAGGTGTTGTGTTAGTTGTCTCTTCAGAGGTTGCATGGCGTTTCACTTTCCTTCTTATGATGTCTTCGACGAAACCATTGGAGAAGCCGTTGTTGACTAGGACCTGCCTTACCCTACAGAGTTCTTCGTCGACTTGCTTCCATTCTGAGCTGTGGCTGAGAGCACGGTCGACATAAGCGTTAACAACACTCCTCTTGAACTTGTCCGGGCAGTCACTGTTGGCATTCAGGCACATTCCTATGTTTGTTTTCTTAGTGTAGACTGCAGTATGGAAAACTCCGCTCCTTTCCATGACTGTTACATCTAGAAAGGGCAGCTTCCCATCCTTCTCCATCTCGTAAGTGAAACGCAACACAGAATTCTGCTCAAATGCCTCCTTCAGCTCCTGCAGATGTCTGACATCAGGTACCTGTGTAAAAATGTCGTCAACATACCTGCAGTATATGGCCGGTTTCAAGTTCATGTCGACTAAGACTTTTTGCTCGATGGTACCCATGTAGAAGTTTGCAAACAGGACACCTAGGGGAGAACCCATAGCGACCCCATCTACTTGCTTATACATGTGTCCATCCGGGCTCAAGAAGGGTGCCTCTTTAGTACAAGCTTGGAGTAGTTTCCTTAGACTGTTTTCTGGTATGTCAAGAGGAGTACAGGCCGGATCACGGTACACTCTGTCGGCTATCATCCCGATTGTTTCATCCACAGGTACGTTGGTAAACAGAGATTCTACGTCCAATGAGGCTCTTATCCCTGTGGCCCGTGTTCCCCGCAGCAAGTCAACAAATTCCTTTGGAGACTTCAGGCTGAAGGCGCAAGGGACATAAGGAGTCAGCAAGCCGTTGAGTCGTTTCGCCAGTCTGTACGTGGGTGTGGGTATCTGGCTGATGATTGGCCGAAGTGGGTTTCCAGGCTTGTGTGTCTTGACATTTCCATACGCATAACCAGGTTTATATTCCCCAATAATCTTTGGCAGGTGGAGTCCGGATTTCTTGGCGTTCACAGTTTCGATCAATTTGTTGACCTTTGCTTTCAGTTCGGCTGTAGTGTCCTTCGTTACCCTTTGGAATTTAGTTTGGTCAGAGAGTATGAGGTTTCTTTTCGCCAGATATTCGTCTTTTTTAAGAATGACGTATATTGGCGACTTCTCACCTCTCCTGACAACTATCTCCTTGTTCTCACGAAGGCTTTTAGCTGCCGCTTTAAGCTCGGGGGACAGTATGGTGCTTCTGTAATTGCCTCGATTCTTTCCTCCTTCCGCAATAAGTTCTGCTTGTAAGGTATCTTTGGTAGTGACCTTCTTTTTGAATTTTGGAGAATTGATCTTTGAATTACCATCAACAGTGAAAAGAAACGTAAGAAAGATAGAGAAAATTCGTGTTAGAATTATTAATCTTACTTTTTCGGTCATATTTAATAATATATGTCTATATATATATATATATATATATATATATATATATATATATATATATATATATATATATATATATATATATATATATATATATATATATATATATATATATATATATATATATATATATATATATATATATATATATATATATATATATATATATATTGGATAAATTAAATTGACGAATGGAAATAACTGCAAAGGAATAATAAACTGCGAAATTGCAAAAATAACTGCGAATGGAAATAACTGCAATGTATATATATAAATATATATATATATATATATTTATATATATATACATTGCAGCCCAAGCGGGCATGTGAAGCCCGCTTGGTTTCATTCATTCATGTGACGACGTTGGTTTCATTCACGGAGTTCTGTTTGGTGTCTGGGAAGTTTTTCGTTAGTAGGTTGGCCGTTTTTCTGTTTTTGTAGTAAATTGTCAATTGTATTTTCAGATTTTTGTTTGTAGGGATAATGTTCCTATTAATAATATCTTTCAGCACACTTTCCTCCGTTTTATGAACCGTCGAAAAGAAGTTCGTGTAAAACTGTGTAATAGGGGAGGGGGGGGGGGGGGTACAGGTGTTGTGTTGGTTGACTCTTCAGAGGTTACATGGCGTTTCACCTTTCTATCTATGACGTCTTCAACGTAACCGTTAGAGAAGCCGTTGTTGACTACGACCTGTAGGGTAAGGCAGGTGTAGTGTTACTGTTGACAACAGCAGCAACAGTACAGGTGTAGTGTTACTGTTGACAACAGCAGCAACAGTACAGGTGTAGTGTTACTGTTGACAACAACAGCAACAGTACAGGTGTAATGCTACTGTTGACAACAGAGCAACAACAGAGGTGCAGCAGGAACAGAGGTGAGTGTGGTTGTTTACATAGTCTTAGACAGGTCTTTCTTAGTTTCTCGTTTACCTTAATTTACCTGAGGGCCACCATGTCTCTAGTGTTCTCGGCGGGGACAGGAAGCCGGTGGCTTGTCAAATGTCCTTTTTATTATTCACGATAATTTTTTCCAACTAAATTTTGAGAAGTAATGTTTTGTCATTTAGCGCTTGGGCGGGTAGGCGGTTCCACGGGTTAATAACACTGTGGGTGAAAAAGCATTTGTTGTTCTCAGTCCAACATTGTGGCGTGTTGAGTCTGAACCCGTTGTTCCTGACGCTTTAAAGAAGTGATCTGGATTAATATCCTCCAAATTGTTCCGTATTTTAAAGGTCTCGGTGAGATGAGCCTTGTCCTGTCTGGTTTGCAGTGTTTTTAGCCCTGAGGCCCTCAGTCGTTCCTGGTCTGAGAGCTGACTTAGCTCCGGGATGACTTTTGTCGTCAGGTGCTGAATTTTCTCCAAAGCAGCTATGTCCTGGTGAAGGTGAAGGTGAAGGTGAGGTGTCCATGTTAGGAGAGATTAGTGCCAGTACCGGCGCACCACAAACTTGTACAATAACAACTGTCTTTTTCTTAAGTGCGTCAAAGGTTCGTTTGACTGTTTAAGGTTTGGCTGGCTTTTTTGTTTACTGACGCTGTCACTTGTTGTGCAACCTTCAGTGACGGCAGGATTCTCACTCCAAGGTCTTTGTCTTTATCAATGTGTTGCAAGGTAATGTTGCTAACTTGGTAGCTGTGGCCTGGGTTGTTATCACCCACATGCAAAGTCTTGTAATGTTTTCCACATTAGAAGCATCAGTTTACATAGATCTCTTTCTAAGGCCTTAGATTTTCAGTGTCATCTGAAAATTTGACGATGTGGTTTGTAATGTTTTCACCTACATCACTGATGTACATGACAGATGACAATGTCATCTCTGTGACCTGACGCCTGACGAAGGCAGAAACGCTATGCAAATCAAGAGTCCTAAACTGTGTAATAACCTCCCAAATGAGATTAACAATTCTACTTGTCTTGTTCAGTTTATAAGACAAACTAAGAACTACCTTATTAACTTTATGTAACCTGTTTTCTTAATGTTGCCTCATCCTCCACGTGCACCTGTGTTGTACTCTTGTTGTGATCATAACTTAATAATTACCTCGTACTTCATCTTACTAAACACTGCTCTTCATTTATATCATAGAGGTTTGTATGTTATTTTTCTTATTCTAATCTAATTGTAAGAAATAGTAACTTTATATGAAGTAATCAAGTCAAATCAAATCAAATGTTTATTCAGGTAAGGTACATACATACAAGAGATTTTACAAAGAGTGATGGATTTATAGATAGAGCTAGTACATACAGTGCCTAAAGCCACTATTACGCAGAGCGTTTCGGGCATGTACCTTGTAGCTGCCATTCATCAGTGTTTCTTGTTTAATTGTGGATTTACTTCTTTGAAGTTTCCTTTCTGTCATTATTGTTAAAAATGTACAAGTGGAGCACTAGTTGGTAGAACTAGAGTCTATAATGCAATAGTCTACGGCTCTCACCACTAATTATCACCCTTATGGACACACTTACTATAATTCCAGAGTGCTTGAATGAAGGGGGGGGGGGGACTCTATATATATTTATTTATTTATTTATTTATTAATTTATTTATTTATTTATTTATTTATTTATTTATTTATTTATTTATTAATTTATTTAAATACAAGAAGATACATTGGGTTTGTGAGAATACATTGGATAGTACAGTAATTACACTCTTGTAAAGCCACTAGTACGCGCAGCGTTTCGGGCAGGTCCTTAATCTAACAGATAATTTTAAGTAGGTAAATTCTATCAGAATTAATAAAATTATAACAAATACATTGCAAGAAAAAAATGAGATGAGAGAGATTAGTAAGTATATTAAAGCACATTGGTATATTAAAGCTCTGATTGATTACATTGACAGCTTGATTGGTAATTTAAACAAGATTAATAGACACCATACCATATATATGTGTAGGTGTATTGAAACTCATTGTTGGATGTAACCTTTATCCTTTCTCAAGGTGCTGAGAACACTGTATACACCACCTTGAGAACACTGTATACACCACCTTGAGAACACTGTATACACTACCTTGAGAACACTGTATACACCACCTTGAGAACACTGTATACACCACCTTGAGAACACTGTATACAGTACCTTGAGAACACTGTATACACTACCTTGAGAACACTGTATACACCACCTTGAGAACACTGTATACACCACCTTGAGAACACTGTATACATTACCTTGAGAACACTGTATACACCACCTTGAGAACACTGTATACAGTACCTTGAGAACACTGTATACAGTACCTTGAGAACACTGTATACACCACCTTGAGAACACTGTATACACCACCTTGAGAACACTGTATACAGTACCTTGAGAACACTGTATACAGTACCTTGAGAACACTGCATACACCACCTTGAGAACACTGTATACACCACCTTGAGAACACTGTATACAGTACCTTGAGAACACTGTATACAACACCCTGAGAACACTGTATACACCACCTTGAGAACACTGTATACACCACCTTGAGAACACTGTATACAGTACCTTGAGAACACTGTATACAGTACCTTGAGAACACTGTATACACCACCTTGAGAACACTGTATACACCACCTTGAGAACACTGTATACACCACCTTGAGAACACTGTATACACCACCTTGAGAACACTGTATACACCACCTTGAGAACACTGTATACACCACCTTGAGAACACTGTATACACCACCTTGAGAACACTGTATACACCACCTTGAGAACACTGTATACACCACCTTGAGAACACTGTATACACCACCTTGAGAACACTGCATACACCACCTTGAGAACACTGTATACACCACCTTGAGAACACTGTATACACCACCTTGAGAACACTGTATACACCACCTTGAGAACACTGTATACAACACCTTGAGAACACCGGCAACAAGATGGCCACCTCACCTGCCTACTTACTGACACAAGCCTGGCACCTCACCTGACGCCAAAGGTGGCTTGAAGGAGAGTGACCAAGCCAGAGACGAAGACGATGCTTGAGACTATCTTGCCCCGGACGGGGTCATTGTCATCGATGCACATGAGGGGAGTGAGGATGAAGGGGATGGTGATGGTGGCCCCGACCATTGTCAAGTAGTGCTGCAACATGGCCATGATGGAGGGTCAACATGGTGACACTATTCACCTTAAACTACATGATATACATACCTTCACAACTCGTATTCACTTTCCCTCTCCCTCCGAAGATGCTGAGCAGAGCTTCAGTGAAACGTATCAAAGCCACAAAGTGTAAAAACTAATTCTGATTTATGTTAACGTTTCCGTCCCAAGCGAGGAAGAATTACAGGAATGATTCATGTTGGTACAGTTGCTCTAATACTTCCCTTCATATTCAAAATAAATAAATTATATACAGCTGTATTATAATTATACACAGATATAAATTATGAAGAGCTGTATTATAATTATAAACATATATAATATAAATTATGTACAGCTGTATAATAAATTATAGACATCTATAATATAAATTATATACTATGTACATTATGTAAATTATGTACATCTAAATTATAAATTATATAGAGCAATATTACTAACAATAAACAACTGTTATAAATTATATAGAACAGTATAAAAACTACATAGTTATAATATAAATTATATATCAATATTATATATTATTAAAAGCTACATTATAAATTATATAGTGCTATACTGTAATGATATAGAGCCTTATTATAAATTATATAGAGCTATATAAATTATTTACAGCTATATTATAAATTATTAAGACCTATATAACAGAATTATATAGAGCTATATTATAAATTATTTAGAGCTATATTATAAATTATATAGAGCTATATTATAAATTATATAGAGCTATATTATAAATTATTTAGAGCTATATTATAAATTATTTAGAGCTATATTATAAATTATTTAGAGCTATATTATAAATTATATAGAGCTATATTATAAATTATTTAGAGCTATATTATAAATTATTTAGAGCTATATTATAAATTATTTAGAGCTATATTATAAATTATATAGAGCTATATTATAAATTATATAGAGCTATATTATAAATTATTTAGAGCTATATTATAAATTATTTAGAGCTATATTATAAATTATATAGAGCTATATTATAAATTATTTAGAGCTATATTATAAATTATTTAGAGCTATATTATAAATTATTTAGAGCTATATTATAAATTATATAGAGCTATATTATAAATTATATAGAGCTATATTATAAATTATTTAGAGCTATATTATAAATTATATAGAGCTATATTATAAATTATATAGAGCTATATTATAAATTATTTAGAGCTATATTATAAATTATTTAGAGCTATATTATAAATTATTTAGAGCTATATTATAAATTATTTAGAGCTATATTATAAATTATTTAGAGCTATATTATATATTATTTAGAGCTATATTATAAATTATTTAGAGCTATATTATAAATTATTTAGAGCTATATTATAAATTATTTAGAGCTATATTATATATTATTTAGAGCTATATTATAAATTATTTAGAGCTATATTATAAATTATCAGGAGCTATATTATAAATTATCAGGAGCTATATTATAAATTATCAGGAGCTATATTATAAATTATCAGGAGCTATATTATAAATTATCAGGAGCTATATATTACTTAGAGTATGAACAGTCACCAGGACCAAGGTTCACGAAGCTCCATGTGTTTCTTGGTAAGAAAGTGTGCTACGAAGGTCCTTAAGTATTGCCTAACAACGTGCCTAGGTCCAATTCATAAAGATATACTTACGAAGATTTTAGCAACTTCACTTACATCTCGCTAGATGTCACTAGGGCTTTTCGTTTGGCCAATCAGAGAGAAAGTAACATTTTTCATCTTACAGCTGTAGCCAATCAGGACGCTGGCATATCGGAGCTTATCGTGATCAAAGGCCACCTATTTACGTCGAATTTTCTTATTAAATTAGTAAATTTTGAAGTAAAACTATGTTTTTTCAACTTGTACAGTCAGCACCGACATTGTTGTAAACAAATATGTTACATTTTTTGTTTACCTACGTAATTTTAAGAGATATTGTGTGCTTTCCTTGTCACTCCCAAGATTTGAGAAGCTATGGTATTTATTTACATATATATTTACCTAAATTTACCCCAAGGGCCACTAACTATCTAGTGGCCTCGACGAGGACAGAAAGCCGGCGGATTATTAAAGGTCCTGCCAATTGTCCTAATGATATTTTCTAGCTAGATTTTGGCATTTACGACTTCAGCGGGTAGGCGGTTCCATGGGTTTTAGCCCTCTGGGTGAAAAAAACATCTGTTTTCAGTCCTGCTTGAGAGAACATACTCTCCAACACTATATCTGTGACTGCCCTGTTGTGAGGGGATGGTTCACCAGCTCACTTACAATAGTGCTCTTATGCCTGTGGGAGCCAGTACACTTGTTAAGTGCACTTGTTAAGTGGGCGAACTTAAGTTTGGTAACCAGCAACTGAAACATCTAGTGTTTGGGCTCATGTGAGAGCCCCAGTCATCAGCAGTCCATAAATGTTACCCTGGCCGGGGTGGCATGTCTGTGGACAGTGCTAGAGCTGATAGCATCATCTCATTATATGGCTTTGAGGCGAGACTCGACTTTGCGCGGGAACAGCTAGGCCCAGGCGTGGGTGAGCTGTGGGCCTCCCGCGCTCGCTGGTCACTTGAGTCGTTGTCATGGAAACAGCCGCCATCTTAGTAAACATCTTGAGCCGCCATGTTGGTCGGCCATCTTGGAGTTGCCCTAGGGGCTATGCTACACCGTCGCTGATTGGATGAGAGGGGTAGGCCGCTGTATGCCTTCCTCTCATTGGTTATTTCGAAAAGGACGCGGGGATCGTCGGTGTGAGCATCATTTTGAACCCAGCTGCCACTCTGTCAAGACGCTTCTCTGTACTCAATTCGGCCAAATTGAAGTATAGGGCGTCGTGGTGGCTGGACTACTCAACTGCTGATGCTTCCTGCTTCACCAACGACAGCGGTCGTCACAGAATCCGGCCGAAGTCGTCGCTTGGAGGGGTTTAAGACATATGTACAGTGGGTAGAGGTAGAGTGATCTGGGATCGTGGGGAATGTGCATACGAGCAGTAACAGACTCGTATATCCCATACCAGTGATGATTAGACTTGCTAGTGCTCTGTAGCAGTCGATGGGAATGGGGAAATTCGTGTCAGGGTTAAGGCAGATTTCCCATGTTTGTGTGAGACGCTATCGTTGTGCGCGTCACCTGGGTACGAACGCTACACTTCACCGGTGGGTCGAGGGTGCGAGCCGAGCCGTGTGTTGAGTGGGAGGGGTTCGAGTGTGCGCCAATTTTTCGAATAAATACCACATAAGGTATTACCGCCGCCTACGCCACCCTGAGCGAGTCAGCCACCTATAGCGGGGTGCCTAATGTATGAGTATGGTGTGTAGCCGGCAGTGTGAATGAGTAAGTACCTATGGGTGTATTTCTGGTGATCTGTTAGTCTCTAAAAGCTTGAATTCGAGGTCAAGTGTTCCGTCACATTGTCACGCAGCACCTGTTCAGGTGGAGTGAATTGTGGGCGAGGAGATAATCACCTTTGTTGTCATCTTGTCAGTCCAGAGGGACTTACGTCTGGTGTACACAGACGTACAGTGTGTGTGTGTGTGTGTGGGTACACATGGGAACAGAGTATACATAGATTAGCCAAGGACTGAGAGGATGTCCATGTAATAATTATATTATTCATTGTGGTAATCATTTTTGATCGTCCGTGGGACGGAGTGATATCATTTGCAGGTGTGGAATTCCAACACTGAGCGCTCAGGTATGTGTAACGCCAGTGATTCCTGGCAATGATTATTGTGGAGTGTACCACAGTGTGGTCTTAATTTCTTGCATTGTTCCCAGGGCTGTGACAAGTGTGATTTATATTTATATATATATGTATTAACGTAATTTTGGTAGAATTTGGTGAGTGACGAGGCTGGCTGGAGAGACCGCCATCGCTCTGTCGAGTAAGGTAATTCTCGAGAGTGTTTATCGATATGCGTGATCGATAAATCACTCACCCATGTGATTTAGGAGTGCGAGATCTCCTTAGTGTTCCCAATAACGTTTGATAGCTGTAGGCTACATGTGTCAGCAGTAATATATATATATATATATATATATATATATATATATATATATATATATATATATATATATATATATATATATATATATATATATATATATATATATATATATATATATATATATATATATATATAAATATTTGTTTTCAGTCGCATATAGTCCTGGGGACCATTCAGGCTTGTTTGCATATATAAATATAATCGTAGTGTCACAGTGCTCAGTGTTATTGTTTTATTTACTGTGTGGTGATTGAAATATTTTGACCTATGTTCTAGGGGTTATTGAGAGCACTGGGGTCATTTGCAACAGTAAGTAAGTGTGTGCAGTATTCTAATATTTGGAAATTAGAGTACTTGCCGTGTGTTATTGCAAAGGGGTTGTTATTTGATGGTGATTGTTGCTAGTGTTGAGCATCACCGTATGTGATTGCAGTTCAGTAAGTCATTGTGGGGCAGGGTTCTAGAGGGTTCATGTCCTGTATGTTATTTTACTAGGTGCTGCAGTATTGTCATTGCAACCGGATTGTAACGTAAATCACTGTGATTTGTCATTGTCATGGGTGAACTCGGCTGTAGACGAGTACTTGGGTACACATATATTCTCCTGTTATCTGGTAGGACATCGAAGTCCAGTATTCAGTGAGGTGATTGCGAGGCAATTAATATAACGTAACCAAGGGAACGCCCATTGCTTTAAGAGAATTTGTTCTTTGACAATTTGAGTAACGTAGAATACGTTTGGGTTAATTTACTTTCCTGCAAGCAGCTACGATAGTCTCGAGGAGCCTAGCCATCAGCCAGATAAGAATTAGAGTATTGTCTGTCGTAATTAACGGTCAGTGGGGCGGGTAATTGACGTGTTTCAGGAAGTCAAAGTAATTAACCTCGATCCTAGTTTGATCGACTCACACGAAGGCTCCATTGTTCCATTAACGTAACGTCGTTATTTATCTGCCCGGAAGTACCA